TCTCTGTCTCAAAAATAAATAAACGTTAAAAAAAAAATAATAATGTACCTATTCATTTTTGCTTGGGAGAGTCATTACCATTGTTAGAGATATAAACCCTATGAACAGTCCACACTGGGAGCTTTTTCTGAATCATTCGTATCTGTGACTTCTTGGTGAATGTATTGTGTTTCTCTTGATCACAGATCATTTGGTTCTTTCATTGTACCTTAGTTTTAGCCACTTGGGTTGACTGCCTCATTGAGTTGCCATTTAGGACTTTTCCAAAGTAAATTTCATGTATGACCTATAGCCTATATTTAAACCGAGATATACCCTCCAGTTTTGTTGAAACTCCTTCGAGCTAGTCATATGATTCAACAAAAGATAAAAAATACAAATAAGATTGTTTTTATTTTATATAGTTTTCAGAAGCATATTAAAATTTGAAAGAGCACTAATACAGTCTGCAAGATCTAGTAGTTTTGCTTGTTCATGAAATCATTGGTATTTAATTTTTTAGAGGTAGTGGACTTTTGTTGGTATTTAGGTTACTTTGAGTTGACTTTCCAGCAAGTACTTAAGTGCCTACTGTTTGTCAGACAGTGTGCTAACAAAAATAGAAGAGATAGCTGCCGTCTTGGAGCTTAAAGTCTAGTAGGACATAGAGATGAGTAAAAAAACTAGTGGAACAACTTACGGTGATAAAATAAGGGTACTTATAATTGTGAATTGGTTAATGTTTTGAATAGCGATTGGTAGGAAACTTATGTAAAATCTTAAAACAGTAAAACCGTTATCCTTGTGATTTAGTTATCTCTGTATTTCCATAATCATTAAGATATATAAAAATTTTAAATTTGGCATTTAACTACAGAAGTATATACTTAGTGACAGTCTTGAATGAACTATCTTTTATCTGGATTAATACTTAAGGTAGTATCCTATTGTAACAAAATGAAGAGTATTTTTTTGTCTTTTGGAATACCATGAATTTCCCAAGCAATTTTGGTAATATTCCTTAAATATGCTTTTTTAGGTTATTATAGGCTGAATTTCAGATAAAGTATTTGTGAATTAAGTTTATATCATTAGATTGGCAACTTATTCTAAGTGTTTTAACTAAATAATACCGTAACTTCAGTCTTATCTCGTACATTTATATGGGTTTATTGTCATAGTTGTCATATTTATTTAATTTAGGGATTAACAGCAGAATAATTTAGGTAGAAGGTTCTAAAATGTCAGTTCAGTAAACTGAATTAAATTTTTTTTTGTTAAAAACAATTCATAATTGGAAGTTCATTTTTCCATAAAGAAATTGAAGTAATCACAGTGAAATTATTAAGCACACCCATTTTCTTTCTACAGTTTCTAAGAGGTTTGCATTTTGCCTTGATACAAGTTTACTTGGAGTCCTTTGCTCTTGTCCCTTATAGGATTGGTAATTTTTTAGCAGTAAGCATTATCTTGAAAATAAGATTCATATGACTCCCCACTTTTGTCTTATTGGCTCTTGTAAGAAAAAAAGCTTAGAAAATAATATGTTTATTGTGGTTTTTATTCTGAGTTTTAAGTAAGAAGTTAAAATATTAACATGTACCTCCTAATTTTTCTACAGGATCCTACGTTGCGTACCAAACAGCCTATCCCAGCTGCCTACAATAGATATGACCAGGAAAGATTCAAAGGAAAAGAAGGCAAGTTATTTAATGTTTATTTCTCCCTTACTGTGGTGATGATGAACTTGAGAGGTAGTGTCGCCTGATGTTTATGAGCAGGTGTTGGCAAACATCTGCAGGCCAAATCTGGCCCAACACGTATTATTATAAATAAACTTGCCAAAACATGGTGACATTTATGTATTATATGTGGTTCCTTGGTGTTGTGACAGAGGTTGTGTAGCCTGCAGAGCCTTAAAATACTATCTGGTCTTTTACAGAATAAATTTGCCAACCCCTGGTTAACAGCCTGGATTCTGGATCTGGATTGCCTGTGTCACAGTTACTTTTTGTGTGAATTTTGATAAATTACTTTAACTGCATTCTTGTTGCAGTTTCTTCTTGTGTTACATTGCAATACTAATAGTAGTAGTAATATCTATCTCTTAGCTTTATTGTGGGGTGAAACTGGTTAATAAAGCCCTTAGAATAGGGACTGGCATATAATAAACTGTCTATAAATATTTGCTGTTATTGATATTCTGCTTTTCAGAAGTTTAGATTGGAGGTTCTGTATACCAAATCATATTTCTCAAATTGTAAATGTATACATTGAGAACTTGGGAAGCATAGATTGTAGTAACTCTATAAGGACTTATTTTGTGGTAGCCTACATGGTATGCTGGCTAATGTGGTAGTGAACCATTTCCATGTTAGTGTGGTGGTTAGTGAAGTGGCACCAATGTCCTTGTAATTTCATTTGGCACCATCATTTATCTTGACTTAATTTGTGAAAAAAATGAATAGAAGCAACTGTAAGTTTAACATTTATGATTTTTCTCTGCAAAATCTGAAATCTCCATTTAAGTTTTAGTAAAGGATATACTGCTTCTATATAGTGAATTTTGGGTGCTGACTTAATATACTGGATAAAGGTGTGTTCTGTGAATACATGCTGTAGAAGTATAGTGGTTCATTCTTTTATTCGCTGCAGTGTTTTTCTTGTGGAATGAATTATGTAAAGTAGGGTTTGGCCAATTACAGCCCAGAGACCAAATCTGATCCTCTTTGGGCCAAATCAGGCTGTGCCCATTTGTTTACATATATTGTTTATCTTGCTTTTGCACTATAACTGCAAAATTCAGCAGCTGTGATATAGACAGATAGCTTGCAACGTGTAAAATATTTAATGTATGACCTTGTATGGAAAGGTGTATTGAGACTGTCTTGGAACCTTTATCACACTTTTTATGGCATTGCTTTTCTACAAATTATATAATATACGCATATGATTATAATTTTGAAACCCAACTTTTTATAATTTAAGGTCTTCTCATGATATTAGAAGCTTTTAGTGCTACTGTAATTGAGTATTAGGAGTATATACTTTGGACGTTATATTTTATTCAGTCCAATTTTTTATATTCCCACCTAACTGTATGACTGTTGAGCACAGTTGTATAGTCTTAACCAGCTTCTACACAAAGGGCTTGCTGGTGTGTATTTTTTTTTTTTTTTTTTTGAGACTAGTGTCCCTTTTAAAGTTTTTGTCCTCACAGGTATGTAATTTAACTTTATATGTATAGTACATTGGATGTTTTGTTACACTATTTAACTTTCAGATTATAATGCAGATGATTACTACAGATTTGTTATTGATCATAAGATACATAAAGTGTAACCCCCTTTCGCAAACCCCCTTTTTTTATAGAAACGGAAGGCTTCAAAATTGACACTATGGGTACCTACCATGGTATGACGCTGAAATCTGTAACGGTAAGTCATTTTGACTGCAGGGGTTCTTTTGTCCCAGGCATTTAATGTGAGTAGCAGATGTCGAGGAAAATCTTTGTTCTCCATTATTTTCTATTTCAGACATTTATCTTTAATGACTAATTGTGCCGATAGATCTGTATGGTGATTATTTGATTTGCGGATATCCTCTCTTTGGTTTAACTGAGTAGTGTGTATAAATAAAAGCTGTTTTGATTAACTTGCAAGTAGGGTGGATGCTACCTGGTTAGAGTATTTAATGCCACTGAGGAGTTACAAGGTCCAATCTGGGAGAGTTATTTTCCATAATATCTTATGTTCTTTAAAACGTAATACCTTTTGCTCTTTAAAAAGACAGATTGTAATAATGGTTGATGTAATACTTACAAAATGTATACTTGTCAGAACCACGGTCTTAGGTGTACACAATTATAAGCCTTCGGGTCACCTTTAACAGACTTTCTTTTATATATTTTTAACCGCCTAAAAATGATTATTCCTGGATGTTCTGACTAGGCTGTATTTAACACCTAATTTTTATTTAGTCAGTGATAGGAGTTGGTGATGTAGAGCAGGAATTCTGCTAACCCTATTTTGCATATTTATATTATAGATTATTATACCTTTTATATTTTAAAATACTACGTGTATATATTTTAGAGTACCTATATATTTTAAAGCTAATACCAAACTTTGTCTTTGTTTACAAATCATCAGATCTTTGAGGACTCAGTATGACATGGAATCATCATATATATTTGCTGTGATTTCTCAGAATTAAGATATATCTTGTCATGCTTTTCCAGAACAGATAGCAAATAAATGTGGAGAATGTGATATTAAAAGTTGACCTTTCTTATTTTCTTTTTTTCTTCCTTTCTTTTTTTCTGGAAAAATTGGAATTGAGTATTAGATATTTTGCTGTTACGTTTGTTTTTAAGTTGTTATCAGATTTGTTTTTGTATTATTGAAATTGTCTGTGAACTCAATGATTCATTTAACAAGTACTTAGCACGTGTGTCACACCCTGTTCTAGTTGTTAGGACTATAGCTATGAATTAGGGCTTCTGTAGAGAGAGTAGTCAGAGAGACCTCTCTGAGCAGGTGACTGTTGAGCAGAGATCTTGCAGAAAAGCATTCTATGAAAGACAGCTCAAGGGTCAAGATTGAGGCCAGTAGAGCAACAGCATGAAGGCCAGTGTCTCCATGACCTAGTGAATGAGGTGAAGGTGGTAAAAGATAAGGTACAGAGATCTGCCTAGTTCTTCCTACTTCAAAATGTAACTCACGGCTGTAAAATTTAGCTTAAAAAATTTTTTTAAGTTTATTTATTTATCTTGAGAGAAAGAGGGGGCACAAGCAGGTGAGGGGCAGAGCGAAGGGGAGACAGAAACCCACGTAGGCTGTGCGCTGATGCAGGTCCTGAACTCACAAACCCTGAGGTCATGACCTGAGCCGAGATCAAGAGTCAGACGCTCGACCGACTGAGCCACTCAGGCACCCCTTAAATTTTTAAAAGATTAATTTACTGACATTTTCTTGGGAATTGAACTTGCCTACTGGCCATTCCCTAAGTGAATTATTGTGAACTGCAGTTGTTATCCTGAGGTAAACATCAGGGTAAGTTTTTTATGGTGGTTGTCATTGTTGTTTTAACTTTTGTCTCACCTGAAATGTCATGAAATTGGTTTCATTACTGAGCTTCTGTGGAAATAGTAAAATCAGTGACAGTTTTTATAGCGATGCTTTTTACAGAACAGTTTTTCTGAAATTCAAGGACAGCTTCTTAATTAAACAGTTTGAGAATGATATAGCTCTTTTTCCTCATTAGATTTTGCTTCTAAATATACTTACAAGAGAGGTGAATTTAAACAAATTTATGGTGTCTGTTTTTACAGAAATAATCACATAAAAGACATTGTGTAGGAATGCAACAGAAAGACTAAAAATGGTCAGATTGCTGGTAGTTTTCATAATTTAATACCCCGTTGAATCTCTACTGTTTGTGACTTGATTTATTTTAGCAGTTGTTAGAGAATATATGGAGAGGTTTGAACGTGAAAGCTCTGAAGTTGCTCTGATAATTGTTTCTTTTATTTGAATCTCAGTCTTAATGCTTCCAATATAATGTTTTTTCCTTGTCTTTTTTCTTTTGGAATTATTACCTATTTATGAGCTTGTGAGTTTGACCAACTTTCTTATTCTCCAGTTAAGAAGATTTCTCTTGGGATATCCACCCAGATACACAAAGCAGTTAAATGTATGTTAAAGGGTTTGTTGCACAGGTATGACTTCCTTTCTAGTTTACGTATGAGCTCATTTTAGCTACCGCTCTTTTTCAGCGTTTTGACACATTTAGTTGATCTACATAGTTACTAAGATTAAGATAATTCTACATTACAATTGGTCTGCGTATCTTTTAAATGTAAGACACTAGAGTTCTGTTAGATACAAGACTAAATAAATTAATCAGGTTATCAAATGGCTAGAAAATTTTTATACAGTTGATTTTTTTTTTCTTCATTTGTTACAGAGAAAGGAGTATGTGTTTGGACAATAAAATTTCATAAGAATCAAAAGGTATTGAGAGTTATAAAAATTAAGGGTCTGGCAGGGTATTTGCTAATATTAATATTTTGTGAAGATAGTAATTTAGAGAAATTCATTATAGGAATGGAAGCCCAGGTATATTTAAAGTTACAAGGTTGTATAGTTGAGTCTGGTTAACTTTTGAGTCAGGTCAAGAAATACAGAGGCATAAGACATGGATGTTGGAATTGCTAAGGGACTTTTCCAAGTTGGGAGACTTTCCCCAAAATGTGTTAGTTGGGTTGTATAATGTTTAAGAAATACTAGATTAAACATTCTTTGGTATAAGAATCTCATCATTTTTAATATATAAATATATAAATTGGAAGACAAGAATATGCACTCATTCCCAGGCTTGTTTGCCCCTTTCCTCGCTCCTGTTGAGAATACTGGGAAGAACTAGAGTTGTGTAGGATCAGTTAAGTGAAACTGTCTTAGTAGTTTTCGACTGGGAGTAGAAACCATTGGGTTGGGAGTAGGGAACACTGGAATGTGTTTACATGGGTTCCTTTTTTGAAAGGAGAAATCTTAGACTAAGAAAGTGCCACTTGACAGTGCTTTTCATTATGTAGAAAATAAGAGGAAATGATGAAGACCCTTCTTTTTGGGTAGTAGTCAGGAACTCATCTGTGGTTCCCCTGGAGAAGGAGTAAAAAGACAGGATCACACTTCACTCTTTTTATTTGTGAGATTTGGTAATTAAATTGGGAACTACTTCATTTTAGCCTCCCATTCTAGCTTGTTAATGTTTAGGTAGGAAGGTCACATACTCTTTTCCTTGCTTATTCTTTATTCTTTTCTTAGTTCATATTGAATATCACTGACTCTCAATTACCTTGCTTTCTTCATTTTTGAGGAAACATTTTGCACTCTGAAGTTGTGCAGATCCAATGCTTTCCTTTAAGACTGTTTGAATGGACTCCAACAGATATTATAGTTCTTAAAACATTTTAAGCCTTTTTTTGGGAACCATTTTCCTGCTAGTAAGTGAACTTAGATGGGTATTCAGTACCTACGTTAGAGATGTAATATCACCATCAACTTTCATCATTTAGAAAAATCCAGAATCGCAATCTCTCTATAGAGTTATATTCTTGTTTTTAAGTTTATTTATTCATTTTGAGAGAGACAAAGACAGTACCAATGGGGGAGGAGCTGAGAGAGAGGGAGGGAGGGAGGGAGAGAGAGAGAGAGAGAGAGAGAGAGTATCCCAAGCAGGCTCCGCACTGACAGCACAGAACCATGTGATCATGACCTAAGCTGAAATCAAGAGTCAGACACTAACCGACTGAACCACCCAGGTGCCCTTATAAAGTTATATTCTTAAGCAGGAATGCATATATTAGTAACCTACCAGCTCCCCTGTTTTATAAAATTTCCTTCATTCTCATTTGATTGTTAATTGTTCATCTCTGCTTGAAGTGTTATGGGAGTATTATATTAGCAGTAATGCTCTAGAGTTATGTCTAGAGTCTAGGCCAGCAGAAGATAGAGACCACCGATTAAGACTTTCTTACTGAACACTCTTCTTTCCTTCCCTTCTTTTCTTTAGCAAATAATTTTCGAGTGCTTATGTAATGTTATCGTGTAGATTTTAAGGGTGCTAATGGGAAAATTTCTTCCTAGAGTTAGATGCATCCTGTTTATACATGCTAGTGCACTGACATCATATGCCTCTCTTAGCATACTTTCGGGATCATTCATTGTGCCAATCTAAACATGGCCCCGCATGTTTTATTAGACATCAGTGTCATTTAAAATTTTATTTTATGCACTAATATTTAAAAATAAAAGTATGTTGCAAAGTCTGGATTTTCAGCTTCTTTTGAAAAGTCATCTGGCATGACTGGGTACTGGGTCCACATCTAGAGTAGCAAGAGTCACACGGATACAAAGCAGTGACTACCTTCTTTAAATGGGAATGTTTTCTTTAGGTTGCACATAGGCCTCACTACTCTGTTGTTTTTGATCTAGTGGTCTTGACTTATTTATACAGTTGACCCTTGAGCAACACTGGGATTAGGAGCGCTGAGACCCCCCATCCCCTTCATGCAGTTGAAATTTTGCATATAGCTTCTGACTCACCCAAACCTAACTACTAATAGCCTACTGTTGACTGGAAGCCTTAACTGATAACAGTCTATTAACATATTTTGTGTATTGTATGTATTATAACTGTATCTTATAATAAAGTAAGCTAGAGAAAAGAAAATGTTCAGAAATAGAGAAGAGAAAATTTGTGAATTTATTTACTGTACAAATTTATTTACTATAAAAAACCTACATACAAGTGCATTCATGCAGCTCAAACCCATGTTGTTCAAGGGCCAACTGTACCACCTGCTTAGACCTCACTGGCCTTTCAGTTTGAAATTCTTGATCTAAATAAAGGCAGTGTTATCTTGTTAAGGAGA